GCACACGCCCCAAAACTCCCCGAACTTCTCACTCAAGTTTTACTTGTCCCCCTTGTCCCACCAACACCTTCTCTCTGTTGCTTGCTCGGTGTCCTCACCCTCACCCTTCCAGTAACAAATGAGTGTCACTGTCACAGTCTCCTCTTCTGCCCTCCTCCCCTCATGCACACTCTGTCTCTATGTCTGTCTGTCTGTCTGTCTGTCTCTCACACACACACACCATTCACAGTCCTCCCCAGACAGCGAGCCTTCGCAGCCTCAGAGCCCTCACATTGGGTGGTTCTGCAAGGAGGCTGCTGCCAGGTGCTCTGCACATGGGCTGAGCCAGGAATGACCAGATGCTTATCTAAACCCTAGAAAGGTGCCTGCTCCTTGTTGATATCCCAGCCATGTCCCCGTCTCCTCACCAACTACTCTCTCCCTGGCAGTACAGGCCTGATCCCACTCTAGATGTTAGGGACAGCTACATTCTGCCTGTCACGTCCTGCCCAGCTGCCTTCTCCCAGCTCTCTTTGCGAAATGGATCACGTGGGGCAGCTGTCCCACCCACATCAGAATGCTGCCACGTCCTCAAATTCCCAGCACCTGGGACATGGCTCCTGCTGGGGAAAGATGCTAGCCGGGATCAGACCAGAGTTTCCTATGCTCACTTCTACGCAAAATTTCACAGGGTCCCCGTTCAAGTCCCCGCCTAGCTCTAAATCAGGAAGAACCCCAGGACTTAATGTAGACTTCCTGTCCACTGGCCATGACAATGTGCCCCTTTGTAACTCAGAGCTTATCCTACTTACGGGATAACTATTTGAAGTAGGAGATCTTAGTCAACTCCCCTCAGCTGTGTGGTGAGAGGGCTCAGCAGAGTGCGAGGGCAGCAATCTAGATAAAGCCCCCTCCATGACTTACAGGGGGAGGCTTAATATAAGAAGTACTAACTTGGGGTACTCAGTGAGAGCAGTTCTCAATCATTTAAGAGGAAAGAGTTCCTTCAAATGGGTCAGGAGTGGGGGCGGGAAGAGTGGAGAAAACAAGGGAAGATGAAGAGGAAGATGGAACGAAAGGAGAGGACCAAAGAGGCAGGGAGGAGAAGGGAGAGGAAGTTGGTGGAAGGTGGGGAGAGGCGAGGAGCTCATATAACCTCCAACAATCTTGCTCAAGCCAGCGGGGTTGTGAGGAGAATGGAGAAAGAGTATTCAAAGTGAATTTTAGTTTTTAAGGTTTCTTTTTTTTTTTAATGAGTGATTCTATTTTGAATATTTAGAAAAGTCTCTCTTGGCACAACTTAACTTCAGCCGAATTTCAACAGGTCTGTCAGTCATCACGGAGTGCCGGACAGAGGAGCAGGAATGTTGCGGATTTCTTATACTACAAGTTTACTTTTGCCTTTATTGTGGTTAGGAGACGCAGGGACGACCCAGGAACGTGAGTGTCGTGGCATCTGGAGGCCGGGATGGGGAGGGGAAGGAGGTGAAAGGGGCTTCATGCATGTTTCAAGCAAGTGGGTGCATGACCAGGTCCTCTAAAGGGTATAAGGTGTGGTACAGGTGGACTGTCTCCACGGGGTTCTGGTCACACACAATTCCCAGGTGACCCCACCCTAAGACCCATGCCTTATACTACCCTCACATGTCGCAGCTCTCCGTCTTCTTCCAGGTCCTAGCTTTTTCTCCAGGAAGCCTTTCTGAATACCCAGGACCCATCATGAATTTGGCATGTGTCCTATGGGGTCTTTCTTTCCTTTCTGTCAAAAGTCCTAGGTGTCCCTCTAGATGTGAAGTCCTGAGGAGACAAATAGTGTCTTGTATTTTCATACTCAGCACTTGGTACATGTCACTAAAAGCATCTGTCAGATGAACCCTCCTGGTAACAGTATGTGCACCTGGGGGCGATGGTCCCATCAGAGTATTTTACTACCTCAGACAGTTAAAGGCGTTACAGGACTAAGGATGCAGAAGATGAGGGGGCTGGATTCAGACCCCTCCCTCAGCAGCCAGGTCCTTCAGGGGGGCTCCCCAGGGCCACACCTGCATTTTCCTCTCGCAGGTGCTCACTCTCTTTACATCGACTTCACTGTCACATCACAGCACAGACCTGGACAGCCCTGGTGTGAAGTCCAGGGCTCAGTGGATCAAAGGCCTTTCTTTCAGTACAATAGTAACAGCAACAAGGTCAAACCTCTGGGTCACCTGGGGGAAAAGATAAGTGCCACCAAAACATGGACAGGATTGACCCAAACGCTGGGAGAAGCAGCAAACGAGCTCAGGATGATCCTGTCTGTCGTAAAACTGGAGGAAACCGGGAAGAGGGGTGAGTGAGAGGAGGGGTGGGGAGATGGGGGCAGCAGAGGGAGGGAGCTGGGAACAGGAGGGGCGGGGGCTGTGTGTAAAGGAACGGAACTCTGGTCCCACCTCAGAGACACAGTGGACCTGATGGGACTAAAGGGCAAGTCATGGAGACAGTACAGGCCCCTAACTGTGCAGAGACACACTTGACCTACTGGGAGATGGTGGTGCTCTCAAGGGTCAGGATGACATCTGTTTGTGGGATTGCAGGTCCTCCCACCCTGCAGGCCAGGATGTCCTGTCAGTGTCAGGCGGAACGATGCACTGGTGCGTCCTGGCAGTTCAGCTTCAATGGACAGA